TCACCACTATATGTGTTTGAAGATAAAAGATGCTATAAAAGAATCCCTATCTTTCAAAAAAATAAAGTACATTTTGTTGACACACTTTCAAGACGAACATATTTCTGGGATACCGCAGTCCCATGTGGATCAAAAAATAGCCACAATGTAGTACAATTGAACCCTGATGAAGATAAATATTATCTTCTTACCCCATACCCCACATTAATGCAATCACTCAAAAAACTTTCACCCGAAAGTATCAGAGCTATTGCTCGAAATCCAAATATCGATTTACAATCAATTGGAATATATTCAAAATCCGATATCCAACATCACAGTAGAACACAACAATTCCAGGAATTATTAACAAAAATGGACACTATACAAAGACAATCAATTGACCAAAACTTACGCAAACTTGCCGAAACCGCAGGATTTGCAGATATCTATACACAAGATTATAGCGGACATTTTAAAGACATTAAAGACTATATATATCTAAACGGTGAAAAATACAGACCACAAGATATTTCACCTATAAATATTTTTAGCTTTGTTACACTAAAAAATGAAATTCTCGATTTTCTAGGATGGCCCTATTACATCTTAGAAAAATTAACTATCTTATACGCAATGTTTAACTTTATAGGATTTCTTTTTTCACTTTTAAAAGGAATCTATAATACATGCGCTATACACACACAAGTAAATAGACAAGCAAGTGTAGCACGCATACTATTTGCAGGATTCTTTGGAATTTTTTCATCATCAGTAAACAAAATTCTTCTAGACGCACAAATAAAAGAATATAACACAAAAATATCGACAAGACAGAACACGTACGACGAAGAACATAATAATATAGAAGTAACGCCTACAGCACCACAGTTGCCACCCCTACCACATAACCATCCATTATCCTTAGTCCCACGAAATTTCCGAAACCTAGCCATAACACATAACCCAAAATTTAGACGAAACATATCGCAAAGACCCATACAACATATAATGACACATCATTCACAAGATGATAAAACATATGAACAAATTATCGAACAACCCCATACCACCGCTTTTCAGTCTCAAAATAATAATTTTTTTAGCCCACGATGAGCCGACAACTTGGATCCCTACACCGCTCAAATTCCCATCCAACCAACCTCAACACTCCAATTTCAATAATCCCACTTTTTGCTTTCCCGCCACCCGATTTCCCCACTAGTAATATAACATCAAGCATGAATTTGGATACTAATTCAGATATTTCAGTTTTATACTCCATTTCACAACCCAATAACCCTAATATAGAAACCCCTGACGAATTTGCAGACTCCGAACCATCTCCATCCAATAATTTTCAAACCAACTCCTCAGTTTTTTCAAAGCCCCCTTTTCAACCAATTCCACCAAATAATCCACTCCCGCCCGTTTCTACTCCCTCTTATGCTTCACAAGTAACCCCAACCTATTCTCCATTTCATTCCGACCGATCATCTAATTCTCGCGATACTCCTCAAATCTCCCAAGAACTCGATAATTTTATCACCCTACAACAACAACTAATACACCCTAACACCCTCACTATAAATCAGATTTCCTCCACAATAGAATCCTCAAACCCACCTACTCCTACACCCTCCTCAGCTTATACTGCATCATTAGCACAATCATCTACATCCACCGAATCATCAAATAGCACTAACCGAGCTTATCGCACTTTTAAAAGAAAAATCCCAAACCATTCATTCCCGACCAAACCAGGAACAGCCTGCGAATACATTAATCATCCACACCACACCAACTCGAAAGATTTTCTAGCAATCACCTTACCTTCATTTCCACAATATACTTTAAACACACCTAACGACATTAACGACACACGTAGTTTTGTAGATGAACATGTTTTAATGCCTACACTTCATTGCACAACATATTATCATTTTACTAATACCCTTTGCCTGCCACTATCTAATACTCATAGCGATATAAAAAAGAATAAAGATATGCTATATAGACTCACCGCAACACTAACACCTAGACAATTTACTTATATAGGATATAAAAAATCACTAAAAACATTCACTGCACCCCGAGCTAACGAATTTACACTCGAATATTACGACCATAATATCATCCGAACTAATCAAGACCAATTTTTAGATGACGACCGCTTCGCTAACCCACAACTAACAGAAAAATTCTTCATCAAAACACCATATGTATTTACACTCAATATTTTTGATAGAAAATATGATCACATCATTTCTGAAGCACTAACTGATATGCAAGCTTACGAAAGTTTTAAAGAAAAATTTCAATTATTTTCACTAACCTTTCACTTCCTTGCACCACATGAACGCAATTTGCACTGTTCACACGACATTATGTTACGCACTAAACAAACTCTTACATATACATACTATCGCTTCATACAAAATCATTTTGATCTACATACTCCATCAAGACAACCACACCATCGTTTTCAGTTTCTTAACTCTAAGTACACTTCGCCATTTGTTCTAAACTTCACCTATTGCATCAAAGATACTAACCTCCACGGCATCCTCCGCAATTATGACCCAATAACACAAATGTATATATTTTGTCCCATCACGAAGACCTTTAATGCTGAAGAATCCAGACCTTTCCTTATCCCACATGAATTTATCCAACCTATAGAAATCCCTATATTAGAATTCATTCACAATACTAAATACAATCACAAAATATATAATCTCATTCAAAACACACCTTATGAGTTTGCAGTCGGCACCAAAGAACTAAAAACTATTAAAGCACTTCAATTGCTTTGGCCACTGCTTCAAACTAAAAACATCATTCGCATACTAGCAAAATTACTAACAAATTCAGACATGATACACGACATCTTCCCCCACGGTTTTTTTCCCAGACGACTAACAGGTAAGTATACTTTACAAATATTCTTAACTAATAAATTTAAAAAAATTAATACTAACCATTCTTTACTCATGTTTCTTTTAGATTTTTAGTCTTCATACCACGATCATCTGCAAAAAACAGAAAAGAAAAATAAAAAATAAAACTTGTTAAAATTCTTCTAAACTTCATTAATATTTTGCACAAGATAATATAATAAAATTCATACCAATGTAGTAAATTAATTTATAAATTGTTTCCCCAAAAGCAGTAAATTTAATTATGATGAAAATTTATAACTTAAACTTTCCCCCAAAATTAGCAGTAAAATTAAAATTCTATGTAATAAATTGATAAAATGAAAATGCAGTATTAACCTTTTGATATTTTCATTCACTCGCACAAGAATTCTATCCAAACTCGCACAGCTCGCCCACGAAGAATTGTTTAAATAATGAATCTCAGTTTCAAGTTTTCATACTCAACAACTCTAACACACGATAACAAGTTTCAAACTTTCCTTTAACCCGGTTGGAAAGGAATTATATACTAAACCAAACTAACCAACGCAGCTTACTAAACACCACAAATCATAAAATAACAGCATGAGTAAGAAAAGAAAACCAACGGTACCCAAACCGGATTAACCCAGTTTAAAACTGGATAATTTATTTTTTTGAAGACTATTATAAAGTCTAAGAAAGAAATAATAAAACACAAAAAAGTCGAAAGACAAACCCATAACAAAAACAATTTGATTTTTGAAAAAAGGACACAACCAACGGAACATAAGAAAGACCAACATAAACCCAACATAAAACGTTATCATATAACAGGACCTCTCAAAGAAACCGCACGAAATCATACTCCCACTCCTGGCCTAACCCACCAGAGAGGACGTCCTGAGCATGCTCTATAGCCGGCCTAACCCACCGCACTACATCCACGCTTTGTGACCACACTTCTATTTTTAATAAGAGGTACTCAAGGGTGAGTAACTCTTCAAAATAACCGAACAAAATAAAATGCTTTTGTGAAAACAACTAACTAAAATCATAATTAAAAAACTGAACTAATAAAAATTTTATAAAATGTAAATCATACTTTGCAGTATATAGATCAGCATACAACAACAAAGACGAACATCCAAAGACAAAATGACCCCACTATACTAGAACAAGAATGGCTAACCACAACCGATATGCCGTCCACAATCACAACTCAAAGGATTTAGAGTACGACTTGACTTCGCAGAAAAGGACTTCATTGAACTAGACCAATGACCACCTCGATGTTCAAGTATACGTACAGATCCAAGTTACAAGGCATCCCCTCCACGGACAATCTCCACGCCATTCCCAGACGAGGTTGAACACAAAACAATACAGAAATACATAATACAGAAAAACCCGTCATAGCAAACCATTTTGAAATCAGATTGATTTCGTTGGGAAACACAGTCGTTGTCACAAGAAGACACAACGATTGATGCCCCTAACTCCAGCGTCCTGGAACTTCTCTAACAAGAGGAACCGGACAAGAATACGATGTTCGCCAAATACCAACGTTCATCATCCATCCTTTGAATTGCAGAAAGATAATTCTAAAAAACTTTGTAAAACCCGGATGGGTGGAACCTGATCTAAACTATATTTTATGATTGGATAAATTAGATATTTTACCACTGTAAAGTATTTAATATTAACCAATCATGATTCATCTAACTAACAACCCACTTATTTGTAAGTGCTGAAATTACTTGTAATTTCAGCACCAGAGAGATTTGAATTTAACTTAGAAATTAGTTGTCTCTCCAAGAGAACTTCAGCAGCCGCAATAAACCAGTATACTCTAGATCTATTGAGCCTAGCAGAGACTAGTTAAACACCCTGAGACTAGAAAGTATAAGAGTAAGATTAGGATCGGTATTAGACTAAGAAGTTGCACGAATCTATCCGGCCGATAGCGTGACGAGCAGACGGTGTACCCTATCCGAAATTACTCTATGAGTTAACCACATCGGTCATAACTCACTAGCAATCAATGACCCAACCGTTGTCACTAAGGAGGGGGAGTGTTATTTTTTTTGCAAATAATAGGGTTAAATTTATATCTTACCACTAGATATGATTAGTATAACTTGCACGGTTGTTCACAAATGGCTGCAAAATTGGCAAAGGAGGTCTGGCTTGAACCACATTTACATTCGCCGGCTTCGATCTCTGGATCGAAATCAACCTCGGTGACTCGAAGGGTTTCGCAAGGAGCTCGTCGTTTTCGGAGATATCACCATTTTCTTCCAGATCATTCGGTACACAGTTCCCCGAAGCTTCTTCGCTTCCAATCGAAATCGCGGGACCCGCCGTTCGTCCCTTGAACGACTTAAACATCTGCCGTTTCTGAGAAACACTCGGTTCCATTAACTGCAATAAATGATTCGTATCAGGAAGAGATTTTCTTGGATTTTCAGTTGTGAATGATGAAATGCTCGTCTTTCGCGATGATTTAGCCCGCTTGTGTGCATGCAAAAACTTGTCGATTGACGTGAGGAAAGGTTTTTTCGAGGAATTGATTCGACCTTTGGATCCCAAGCCTAATTTGGGATCACTAACATTTATAGAGTTTGAAATACTCCCGTTATGTAAAATCTGCAGATTGCTCGCACATTCAGGCCACAAGTCTTCGCTTAAAGAAGGCTTCAGTTTTGAATGATTCGAATCGGAAGTAGAATTTGATCCTGGTTTTATGAAAGGAGATTCTACTCCTAAAAGGATTTCGCTGCTTGCTTTTTGAGGGCTCCAGTTTAGTTGCAGAGTGTCGAGTTTCGCAACCTTTTGACGATTCGTATCGCTGGTTGAATCAGCAGAAGCAGCGGAGTCAAAACTGCTTTGCTTCAGCGGAATCATCTTTGGGACGCTTAAGCTCGTTTTCTTTCTCGGTTCGGTCGGTTTTGGCGACTTGGGTAGACTATTATTCTTTTTGCGTGACTTATCGACCAGGTGCTTGAAGTTAGTAGCAGCTTTACGAACTCCATGACCCGTGATTTCGGTGTCCACGACGTGACCAAAATCATGGTCGTGTTCGCAGTTATGGCCTTGTGAGTCGTGAGAGCCATGAAAATGACTGTGGTTGTGATGGGAGTGATTGCTTTTATAGGTTTCAGGATAATCCATGCTGTCATCTTGAGGAATGCGGAGAGCTAAACCAAATTTAATTTACGAAATTTAAAAAAGGACAGAAAAAGAGTTTCGATTGAAGTTTTTTAATACTTGATTCAAGCCTCGAACAAAACAAGGCAAGAAGATTGCTACTCATTTAGTACAGGAGGTTCTTTCCAACCATTTTGAATTTTGGAAAATTTCAAAAATTTTTGAAGAGAAGAAAAAATATTTGAATTTTCTTCAACTTTCTTTATAATAGTTCGGTCCAAAATTGCTCTTACTTACTTGCTTTTTTTAGAAAAATATATTGAGTTAGGTGAACTAGCATAAGAATGTGTCGTAAAAATAGCTAAAATAACGTTGAAATTGAAGTTAGAATTCAATTTGAAGGCCAGCTTTGAAAATCACTGAGCCTGAAAAACGAAAAAATTCAGACCAGTTTTACTCGACACTGGGAGAAAGTTTTCAAGTTTATGTTTTAAAATCCAGATCAAGGTCAAAAGATTTGAATATGATACCACACTTGAACCCCGTACGAGTTTTCCTTGTAATAGAAATTGGCTGGAAAAAAAAACATATCCGAATCTAAAGTTCCTTTTCACTCTTCAGCTGGTCGGAACAAAAACTCTTTTTTCAATAATCTTGCTCAATCTTTCCACTCAAATTGTTTTTAAGCTATCTTCATTTTCTCCCCTCATTAATTTTTTCAACTTGCCTTGTCGTCTGTTCCTGATGGACATATCGATGAGGTCATGACTAATAGGGGGATTATTACTCCGCCGGGCCAGTTTGGGCGAAGAGGGCGTGGTCAACACAACCCGGCGTCTGTTCTTGTTGGGCAACTTCTTCCTCGCTTGGGCGTGTTGGTAGAACATGGCGAAATTACTCACTATGACGGGAACGGGGAGGGCGATGGTAAGTACACCAGCCACTGCACAGAGAAAACCGATCATCTTGCCTGATAAAAAAGTGAAATTTAACAAACTAAATTTTTAAAAGATCTTGTTTTTAGCATTAAACTCATTAAACTTGAACGCATTAAAATAAAAGCATTAATCCTGAAACTTTAAAGCGTTTTTCTCAAAATGGATTGACTTTAGTTGACAAACGAAGGAGATAAACTGTGCTTAGAATTTATGCAAAAATGGTGTACTTTGTTTGCGAAATTTGGACCGAAAGTTTTACCCAAAAATCAAAAATTACGCCAAAACTATCAAGTCGATCACTGACATAATTATATTATATTGAGCCCTTTTCTTGCGTATCTCAGCAAACTTTAGGAAAAGCATAATTTCAAAAAGTTCTATAGATTTTTTTTTTCGTTTGATAGACAAAAATTGGCATTTTACAATATAATACACCAATTTTAAAAAAGCAATTTTTAATTGTTGTGCATTTTTTTTCGAAAAGACACCCTTGTTGAAGTTTGTTGATTTACGGAAGGGGCTTACTTAGATATAATGATGCTAGTAATCGACGAGGTAGTTTCGGCGTAATTTTTGATTTAGTTAAAAGCCAAAAATGATCCAGGTTTGGGGTAAAACTTTAGACCCCAATTTCACAAAAAAGTACCGCATATTTATTCTGCTGAAAGTCTAAGCTAGTTTTGTCTTTGATTCTCGCCTAAGTTTGACCCATTTTGAGAAAAACGTGTATTAAATTTACAGCTTAATGTGTTTTGTCCGGATAACTCAAATCAACAGTGTGGTAATATTATTTATTGCATTTTTATTCGGTTCGTAAAATAAATAACATAAATACATAAATAACATAAATAAAAATAAATACCTTTTACTAGCCTTGCTTCTACTTATACTTTTAGATTATATAATTTTGAATCTGTGTTTTGCATCACAACTCTGAAATTGAGGAAGTTTACCCTTCAAAAGTTGACAAAGTGCTTGAGTTGAAGAATAGTTATCTTTAAATAAACATTTTTAGTCACATCGAGAGATAAAAACATAGTACATCATGCACAAAAATAAATTGATGATATATTAAAATACAGTGGTATTTTTTAATTAGAGACAATGAATTTTATCTTTGTTACATTTAAAACATCATGTCGGTATTGTTACTAAAGAAAGATAAAAAATGACGAAAAACTTGCTGTTCTGTTAGTAGTTTTGATTTGATCTATTTATACAAAGTAATTTTGCGCGTGCTTAAAGTAGAGTCTGCAACTTTACCACCTATTGAATGATTCCACAAATAAATAGGGCAAAATTATGTAACGTGTCTATAATTATGTTGACATTAAAGTAAGTTTACTTGAAATTTTTCCATTCCGGAGTTGGAAAAACTAATTTAATTTTGGATAGACTGTTAAATTAAAAACTGGTGATATTTTAAAACTGGTGATTTGATGAAAAAATGTATCTACTTGAAAAGATTGAACTTTTCCAAGTAGATACAAAAGAATTTTATCTTTGTTACATTTAAAAAATCATACATAGATAATTGTTTGAGAGAAAATTAAAAACGACGGAAAAATTTATATGAAGTAAGTTCTGTTCTATTCATATTTTTGATTTGATTCCCTGATACGCATTACCAGGTAAATTTTGTGCCTGCTAAAAAGGGAATTGCAATCTACCACCTACTGAATTTTCCATCAAAAATGAGGCAAAGTTAGGTACTTTATCTATAATTACGCTGACATTAAGGTGGGTTATTTTAATACTTTTTCTTTCCTGAGTAAAAAAATAATGTAAATTTAGCTAGATTAAACTAAATAAAAGTTAGACTAAATAGAACTTAAAACCAATTATTTTATTCATTAAAAAAATTTTTGCCTTCAGAGTTCGGCAAATTTACTTTAATTTTCTAAGTTCTGGGATAAATTTAAAAGGTCCAAGATTATTTTAAAACAATTTATCTTAGAACAACTGTTCGAAAGACAATTTTCTTTTTGCACATTGTAATTTATAAACACGCAGTTAAAAACGCAGTTATTCAAAGTTTGGTTAGGTTTTGTGAAGGCGCTAAATTTTGTTTCCCAAACCTCACAAATTTCATTTGTTTGTTTTTAAACAGCCAATCAGCTGTATAACAGAAAGTGAACAAGAGTCAGACAACTATTTTTTTGTTTCTTTTTCACAGAAGGGTTTTATTTATTGGAGATACACCGACACAAATAAATAAAAGATCAATTTTATATTTAAAAAAAAAACGTTTTCCAAAACTTTATTGGCAACATGATATCTTTCGTATTTTAATCTAACTTAAATCAATTGAATTAAAACTTGGCTCATATTTTTAAAGTAAAATTCAGATTATTTTAACCTGAATTTTGTTTTGCTCTAGCTCATTTAGCTAATTTTACTCCTACATTTTTGAGTTTTTCTCTCCTTTTTTGCAAAGGGGGTCATTGTAAATTGCGTCGACGGGCTTAAGCAATACTTTAGTGTCAACCAAATGTTAATATCGACCAATACTCTGTAGGTTTCGACTGTAGACCAAAGAAAAAACTATGCCGTTTCGCTCGACGCGTTTCAGATAAGTTTTCATTTTATCGACCCTTCGATATGCTTCTACTGTCTCGACTATCAACTAATTTGAGTTAAATCAAAAAAAATTTCATGTGTGCTTTTCAGGCAACATTTTTTGGGTGTTGCTGGAATTAAAAATAACTATAAGAATCAAGTAAGTGAGAATATTGGCAACGAAACCTAATTTTTAGCGAAAAATGGCAGCGAAAATCATAAAATGCTTGCTTCTAACTGAGGAAAACCTAACATCTCAAAATTTTATGGTGTTTCTCTGAAAGTTCTAGTTTGCTGTCAGCAACTCTTCTCTGCATGCAAACTTTGACAGAGGTTTTCATGAGCAGATTTTTTGGTCCAATTGTATTTCAAATTAATGAAGTTTTTCAAAAAGTTGAAAAACTTTTTCAAAAAAATAAGCAGCGCTCAACTGAGGTTTTGACAGGACTCGAGATATTTCTTGACTCTGCCTGACACTTTTCGATTTTCTAGACCAATAATGGGAATGTTTAGTCTTTTTGCTCGAATTAAAGCTGTTTTCTCGACCACGGTTTTCAACTGCAAACTGCTCCTTCTTGATTTTTGAAGTTGGAACTTTTAAAGTCGAGTACCCCATGCCGTGTAGTAAAAACTATTTGCACTTTCTTAACCGTTGAACTTGTCCTATTTGATTTTAGGTTGCCATGGGCGCATATTTTCAGCGCCCTTTAAGCTATGACTTACTTGCAAGAGCTCAACTAACAAATTGCAGTGCACGTGTGATTTGAACCAGCAATTATATGATTGCTGGGCACCATCACTACCGGAGCGTCACAATATCACATTATGATGCCATAGTAGAATAGTAGGATGGGGTAGTTTAGCAGTTCCTTTTTTATTTAGTGATAACAAAGTAGTTTCGAGATTAGATATTTGATATATGGGCGAGGTCGGGAGAACAGATTGAGGGAGAGTGCAAATGGGGAGAAAAAGGGAAATTAAGATTGTTAATTTCGGCTGAAGGTCAAAACTTCAATGTACATAATATAAATATCTTTTTTTCTGAGGTAAAAACAACCTTTTGAGTCGGTGTTCAATGCCTCTAGACCAGATATGGAAACAGAAAACTCCATCGTTAATCCGATTAAGAGACTTGAAAATTAAAGAAAAAATGCTTGATAACTTTCATTGTAGCTCGAGTTGCGACCCTGAAAAGGGCTTCGAACTACCTCTGATAAGACTTTGATGTTTCTCTCGCTCGACCCCTACTGGCGTTCATTTGGTGTGTATTTACAAAAATCAAACTACAAAATAAATACAAATGCGCCAAAATACAAATTTTTTCGCTTCGGCGCATAAAAAGCTTCAATTAAAATACTAATAATCCGCCTACTTTTCAATTTGGAAAAAACGACAGTTTGTCCCAATTACGAATGACGAATCTCAACTATGAAATACAAATTCCATCTTGGAGGGACCGAATGATGGGAAAATTGTAACCAATCAGATTCGATAGACGTTGATACAGGCTAAATGGCTTTCGAACAAAACCGAAATCATTATCACCAGAAAATGAATTATAGCTTCACGGCAAACGGATCTACTCAACAATTCACCCCTTTCTAGAAGAAGGGAGGGGTAATTGTTAGGTGGATTAAATTAGTGGAGATTTAGACCAATCGGAATCAATAGTCCTAAAATACTGCCCGCAATGAGGTTCCATAGATAATAATCAATTATATCGAATTTTCAACGTCTGTATCCATAAAATCAAAATTAAAGATTATACTGGATTAACTATTGATTAAAAACCAAACAACAAATAAATCAGTTTAAACCAATGTAATCAATTATGACGGAATATAACGGAATATAATGGATTGTAATGAATCATAAGCTGTTTTGCGCAAGAGCCTGGAGTTTCCAAAAATTTTCGTATAGTTTCAAATCTTGAAAATTGCAATCGTTAAATTGAAATTTACATGTGGCTTGTAAACTTTGTTGTGTTGTTTTATTCTTGTTTTATTTTCACGATTTTTTTCTCTCGATATTTTCTTATTTGGGGCATCAACGCCCCTCACCCACTTACACCCCTCCCCTCATTATAATCTCCTTTGCACACATTTATCCCCCTATCTCGGGGTTAGTGAGATCGAGTTGGTGGGGGTATATTTGTTGTGGGGGTAAGTTCGGGGAGGTGTGCTGAAAATCGTTTTGCAAAATTTAAGCAGGTGTGAGTAGGTTTAAAAATTCAATAGGCTGTAAAAAATGCAGAAAAATCAGCAAGAAATTTTTTGCAAAAAATTTGGAAACATTTTAAAGTGATCATAATCCATTACAATGGATTATAATCGATTTTGTGGTCCCAAAATGTGGTTATAATTTTATTCAATAATCTTGACCACGAAAATCGATTCTGATCGATTATTATCGATGGAACTTCATTGCGGGTGCTTTTATTTATAGGGATGGCAGTTGTTTAGTAGATACCATTGGAGGGGCAATTGTTATATAGATCCCTGCAAGATTTTGGTGTAAAAATCATGCAGACGTACGATAAATTTTGCTATTTTTTAAAAATCGTTTTTCCAATGCCCCACTTAGATTTTGTAATAATTGAAAATTCATTTATCTCCCTATTTTTTAATCGGTAAATAATAATTTTAATGGCCTGGATGCTTTCTCTGAGATTTTTGGATTTTTTCAGATTTTTGAATACTTTTTTCTGATTGTCTAAACATAACTGAAAATAAATTTCCAGCATCCGGTCCCTCCATCATGACGGACGCCAACAAATTTATCATTGAGGTTCGTTACTTGGCTCCATTGGGGGTCCAAATTACTTGGTCGAAACATAAATGTACCTGGATATGTTTTGGGAACCATGTCTCCGTAGCCGACAGTGGTCATAGTAGCCACCGCCCACCAGAATCCATCGATTATACTCTTAAAATCATTGTCTTTATCCCTAGCCCAGTTGGTCTGAATGCGCTCTGCAAAGTAACACATCGACGCAAAGATCACTATACCGAAAATGAGAAAGAAGATTAGCAGAAGCAGTTCTCCGGCACTGCAGTAAAGTGTATGCAACAAGATCTTTAGGCCAGTTGAATGGCGAGTTAGTTTGAACAGTCGGAATATTCTGATCACGCGCATGAATTCCAGGAAGTCGACTCCGATGCCACTGATTTGAAGGAGAGCTAGGGTCTAAACAAAATTTTAATCTTTTAAAATACAGGATTAAATAATCATCAGCTCAGCTCTTCAACTTCCGCGCATTATTGTTTGGCTAACAACTAGACTGATAAATATATGAAATATTTGATCATTTGTTATTTTTTTAAAAATATTGATGTCTCTTTTGAACGATTTATCGTTGGCGAAACATGTTTAGCGTTTGCTAACAAAGTTGCCTTTTTATGAATTCATCAAATCAATTTTAAGTGGTATTCAAGTGAGACTATTGAGATGGCATGAAAAAAGCGCTCAATTTTTCATTGAACACGAAGTCCATTAAATACTGAAAAATGGCATGGAAGTCTTGAAATGGTTGCAACAGTATTGTGCGGGGGGGGGGGTTCTTGAAAGAGCATTCATCTACTACTTAGTACCTAATGAGTTACCCGCTGACTTTTGCGGAAACAGTGTTCAATTTGCAATTAGCCTTACCCTCTCCTTGCTTCCAACCTTCCGTAGATTGACCCCCCAGATCGGAAACTAAGGTGGGGGCAAAGGACATTCACTTCCTTTAAGTGCTGACATAAGTCAGAAAAATATAAAGCGCGTCTGTTGAGCTCGGAACTTCTGTACAATTAGACTTGTCGAATCGTTTTGTGTTTTAGCTTAGTCTATTCGCGTATTACTGATTTAGATTTCCAGTTTTTAATTGAGACAAAATTACCCCTTAATTGACTTCAAAAAACCGTCATGCAATTTTTGAACCAAAATGAGTAGTTATGGCCTAAACGGTATGTATGCAAGTAGCATGTAAGATTTAACTACATTCTCTAAGAACGTCAAATTAATAACATTATTTTTGTGATCCTAATTCACGAATTGCGTCCGAATTGACAAAAAAAACAGTAGGTAATGGTCAGAAACAGGGGCGGTTTTAAGGAGGGGCGGGGGTGGGCGGATATCGCCTTCTTTCAGGGATTCGACCCCCTGCCGATCCAAAATGTTTCCCCTTGGTACTATTTTGAGATATCCTTTTTTACCAATATATACTAATTTTGAGGGGAGCGCACGTAGAAAAAAAGCAATTTTTGGTCAAAATAATCCAAAAAATGCCTAAAAACACTTTTTTTGGCCTGCTTTTTTCAAATTTGGCTTGCGGCGCATAAATTTTGGCTAAAACAAGGTTTTTTAGTGCACTGGGAGAGCTTGGGAAAATCAATTTGGACGACCTAAAAAAAGTCGACAAAATTTTTGAAAATCCGCTAGCCGCCGCCCCCCCCCCCCCCCCCCTCGAGAAAATCTTAGATCCGCCCCTGGTCAGAAAACTTCTATTGAAGACAATAACTAATAAATGAGTGGCCAGAACGTTTATTTCTTGAGAACATTTAGTGCATTAAAATATTGCCGAAGCGCAAAACTGAAAGAAAAAAAATTGGCACTACGGTATATTAAATCTCTTACTCTTTCAGTGTAGAAAAACGTGGTTGCTGCAATATCCAACAAATTGATGCCACCTTTCAGAAACTCTTTTTTGTCGGGACAACAAAACAAACGAATGAACACTTCGAAAGTGAACCAAATGTTACAAGTGATCTCAACGTAGAGAAGCCACTCAACTGGACGACAGTCCATATTCTGTTGATTGATATCCGAGTTCGGATCCTCAGTCTCGGATCCGGATCTGCCGACGTGTTCGGATCCCTGGTAGTACTGGATATAGTCTGTACTGGACATCAGAACCTCATCATCGAATCCTTGGGTTGACGCCGTGGCACTGAGTGAAGAGAGTGGATTCAATGTGTTGTTCGTGCCGTTTGGGGAGAGGGTAGATGTCTGATAGTGGTCGCGAAGGGCGGACTGGGACTTTACGGGGAGCACGCACTGTTGGAATGTGGGGTGGGTTCCCATGCAGAAACAGCAGATTGATATGAGGATGAAAAGAACCGAAAGGGTCGCCACAAACTGAAATGAAATAATAAAACATTAAATGAGTATGAAATTTAGCGTGCGTAAAGGAAGAACTTGGCAAAAGTAATAAAGTGATAACACATGTTATTGTCCAAGTCTTAAAAGATTTTTAAGAACCTAGTTTTTTTTTGAAATTTGTGCCATTTTTGTGCATGTGTGACGAGATTGAGTAGCCAAAAACTTAGGACATGAGTAAGTAAGACGCTTTCGTCTACGTTTGTCTTCTATACAGAATAAAGAGAAAATCAAAAAATGTGTTACAAATTTCTATGAAATATTTAGCAGAATACTTTATTGAATTTTAAAAACATCATTTTGTGCTAGCGAAGCGCTTAATGTAGCTTGGAAACTAGTTTTCTTGGAGTAAAACTAAGTTTTAAAAGCTTCTCACTCTAATTAAGCCTTTTGTCCTATTAAACACCTGCACTATCGCTAAAAAAATTCAAACCGGATAAAGCGGAAAGGGCTTTAAAGTCATATATCACTCCACTTATTCCGGTGCTTATTTAAAATACCTGCTTTTGCGTCGGAAAAAAACCTGAAAAAGTCTCAAACACAACCAAAGACAAAGTTCCTTCCTACTGTCAATGGTCAGAACAAAAAATAAATTTGTACGTTTGCACAAAAATGCATGAATTCAACCTGCAATTTTTTTTTTGAAAGTTTCAGCTTGGTCATCAAATATGACATTATTGATGAAATCTCAATATTTGATTCAAGTATCTGAGTTTTTGCGATATGGACGAAGACGCTAATCTGTAATATCTATAATTTGACCGAGGATCTGCTCTCGCGTTTGTTTGTGCAAACTGGACCTAACACTTACAATCTTTTGTCAGTGTGAAAAAAGTCGCAAATTGTATGCGTTGCGTATGTTTCTCCAAGTTTGATGATCACACTTTAAAACTTATCCAAAGGTTTCACTAAAATTCGTATTTTTTCACATCATCAAGCTTCGTAGTAAAAAACCACGAGAGCAGCAGATGATCAGGATGAAATAACTAACTTATCTTGTGTTTTGTTACTTGTAACTACGAGAGCAAAAGTTTTCCTCGCGTGTTGTCATAATTTTATAGTTCCATCTTCCGAAGAAAGTGGAGATTATTCATGCTTGGGAAAATTGTTTTCAGACCAATTTTTTACCTGCGATTAATTTTCGTAAAGTTATATGGGCTTAAAGATTGCCATTTTGGTCAATTTTGGACAATTAACGCGCGATTTATTTCGCGCTATCAACGCGTTAGCGTAGATTTATTCCGTCTTTGTTGTGAATTGTATTATCTTAACCGTATTTTGTAATTAACTTGTTAGTCAACATAACTGGTACTTAGTTATGACCTTGATACGTTCATTCCCTCCGGCGGAGAGAATGCTCTTTCACTTTTTAATATTTTAACTTTGAGATTAATTAACTTTTAACTACACTTTTATCTGTACAAAAGTAGAGTTAGCTGTAACAAAGAAACATTTTATCATGGCGCAGTCAAACAGTAACGAATCAAACGTGAGACGTATAACTTCATTTTGGCAAAACCATACGGTGGACCCACCAATTCCCTGGGAGGAGTGGAGCGATCTATTTCAACTGGCAGTAATCGCAAAGGAAAATATCGACATAGATAACCTTCTAAACCCGACAGAACGATACCACCCACACCCACCACTATTGGAAAATCCACCGGAGGGCGAAACGGAAATCCAAAAACTGACCCGTTTGGAAAAGAATATCCGTGAACAAAAGAGATATGACGAGGAAGAGACAGCTTTGATAAAGTCGGAAACAAAAAAATTCAATGGCATAAGATTTGAAGAAGCTGACAAAAAATTCTGATTTTTCCTTTATTTAGCCGTCGGAAACGAAGCAAAGAAAATCTTCGGCCAAAAATTTACGCAGTCAAATTTCTTTCAAATTTCTTTCAAGCATTTGTGAAGAAAACCAACATTACGTTCGAAAGACACATAAATGGCTCCAAGTTGGTTGAAAGAAGCTTATTTGCCATAAATCATTGTTGATAGGAGCAAAATTTATCACTTTGTACTTTAATTGGCGTTGGGGGGATTGATTTTCAAAAAAATCTCAAATTTAAAAAAAAATCGTTTTTATTTTCTTACATTTATTTTCTTCAAGATTTTACTGCTCCAAAAACCTTAAAAGGCAGTCAAAAATTTCAGGGGTTTGCCTTGATACAAGCCGTCTTGTATTATTTCAGTTCTTCAATTATTTCTACACTTTTTTCTTCGCTTCCATTTCATTTTGACTAGGTTGAATCATTTGGGTTGCGCTTAACAATTGTCTAAAACCCCGTAGAACCGCTCAGTCCTGAACTGTACATGAGCTTAATATTGGCACGGAAAGAACGGGTGAAAGCCCTAATTTTGCGAGACGAAGGACTGAAGGGAAGAAAAAGAGTTACGTTGAATGTTTTTTGAATTTCTATGAATAGAACTTCAGTTCTTAAACACACTAAAAAATTCAAAAACCTCGAGGTTATTTTAGTCTCCATTCCTCTTTTTTGCATGTTCTCAGTTGACTCAAAAAAAATCTCGTGGTTTTCTAAAAATCTTTATCGGAACTTTCAAACAGGAAAACTTTTGTAAGCAGTTTCAATTATAATTGCGACCGGATCGAAGACATATTCTCGCTTAATATTGGTCAAGCCCATACTCATTATTAGCTGGTGAAGTATCAGAACATGAATGCAAAATTCATGTTCATTACCACATTGATAAGTTTATTTATACAGGTTTAAATGTAACGCTTCTACAGAAAACAAGTTTTGTTCCATGCGCGGTTTTAAAGCTATTTTTGTAAGTAAAAACGGAAATCAGTCTCATTTTATGAGCCAGAGATGCAGTGCCGATGTAAGAAATACCTATTTGGGAGCCCATTAACTTGAATTAAAACTAGAGTTCATTTTTGTAAAAGGTGCTTTGTAATTTCCTGAACTCAAACAAGAATCATTGCTGAATATATATAAAAAAACTGCTCGTATCAGGGTGAAGTGTAGAGTGTTTCGACTGCTTTTGAAAGTCTATCGAGCAGTAGCAACCTGAAAAAACTGAATTAAAAATATTAAATGATATTTTTTGTTCTAACTTTTGAGATTTTTTGTGAAAATCATCCCCCATACGCCATATAAAGTGCAAACTGATAAATTTCGCTCCTAGTAACAGATCATTTATGGCAAATAAGCTTCCTTCAACCAATTTGGAGCCATTTCTGAGACTGAACTAAATGTATGCTTAAGCGTTAATAGCGCGAATTATATCGCGCGTTAATTGTAAAAAAAAAGTGGCCAAAATGGCAATCTTTAAACCCTATAACTTTACAAAAAATGATCACAGGTAAATCATCTTTTCAATTTAAGCTCAAAACAACAATAATTTTTGAAAGACTAGTTGAAAAGCCTTATCTCATCATATTGCAGTATAATAATTCAATCTTTCAGTGAATAGTGAAAGAGCATGACTAGTAAAAAAGCAAACTTTTCATTTCAATTCATTTTCTTTTCAAATAATGTACCCTGAACTGGATAATAACAAAACATTCCAATTTTGAGAGTGATACAAAATTCCACAAATTAGTGCAATTTGAGATAAACCATCCATTTAAAAATATTTCGCAAAACTTTATGATTCAGTTCTGAAAAAAATTTTTCCTTGACTTTTTTGGGACATTATTACTTTTGAGGGTTTTTTGAATGGATCAATTTCTCTAGAACCGGTCAAAAGTTAAAGTTTGAATGCATTTGAACGCAAACAATTCAATATAATAAGAACAATTTTTTTTCAATTTTTGTGCATTTGTCTGTTATTGGTAAAACAATGAAACTTTGTGTGAAAAAAATTTCTGAAAAAATTGTAAGAGTAAGGAATAATGTTGCCACTAAAAATACGTTTAGGTACTTTTTAAATTTCAAATTGAATATATGTTTTTCATGTTGTCATTAAAAGATCGATTTTGTCATCAGTAATTGTTGTAGTCATAAGATTCGCATTACAAGCCATTTTTGCCCACTTGCATCAAAACGCTAAAATTTGACACTGCAAATTGAGACACAAATTATACTAATAGTATTTTTTCATAAAGCAATTTTAGATAATTCTGAGTAAACTTGGGGCAAGCAGGGGCACAACAGCGGTTCGCCGTGATGAGCTGTACAGCTCGTATGTTGGTCCTATCCCTCGTGGATAAATGATCTTAAAAAAATGTATAAAATCATATTTTTATGAAAGTATTGCGTTATTACAAAAACGTGGCAAACTTTTTCTTACAAAAAAAACAAAAACAAAAAGATATTTAGTTGTGCTTATTTTGAGCAATGAACTGCAATGAAGTCTAATCAACGCGAGATAAAACTGCACAAAATCACTCATGTTTAAGGCTAAAACTCATTATGGTTTACTTAATTGTTTTTTTTTGTCGTGCAACGCATCTTAAAAATTGTTTTCCTTAGCAATTTTTTTCAGTGCTGAACTGAAAAAAAAACTAGATTTCAAATTCGCAAGAGCACATCCTTCCAATTAAAGACAGGGGAGCCCGCGGCGTGAATAGGGCTTCAAGAAGCTCAATAACCCTTGAGAGCCTCTTATCGACGACCCAGCTCTACCTAGATCAACATTGTTTAAATTGGGGTTAAATCCAGTTCAAAAAACGGTTCAAATAGACGTGATGTTAAGAAAAGGGAAAAACAGTCAATTATAGATCAATAGTAACTCCCGGGTAGCGAAAAAGTTGCCCTAAGCAACTCAGCGCGTCTAACCTGTGATGATAAGTTTTTCTTTGTTGTTTTAGAAATGCGTCAGTAGAAAACTCAGATCAGATTCTGGGAATTCAGATGGGGTCTGATTGATTTTGGATAAGCAGAGAAGTGGAAATTGTATTTTTCTGCAGAGGAAAAAATCATTTTTTTTGATAAAAAATCAATTTCCGATCGAAAACTACATAAATGGAATTCTCATTCCACAGAGATTTTTGCCTGTTTTATGAAAAA